GGCATTGACTGCAAATCCTTCATCTCGCTCCCCGGTGTCAAACAGTACGCTGTGGAGCTCAACGACAAGTGGGCGAACTGCTCAGAAGACGAGTGGATTGCGGGCGCAAAGGGTGGGCCCTGAGCCTCGCCGTTGCCTCGCGATGAACTGACACCGTGTAGAACTTGCTGACCGCCGCACCAAGAGCATGAACGCCCTCATAGAGCATATCAGGTGTGTTCTTCCGCGCTTGTTGGGCTACTGACTGACATGAGATATTGCAGCGGCGTCGACCGTTACGACAAAGACCTCGAGAAAATCTTCCAAGCCCATCGCGCCATCCTTCAAGAGGAAGGTGAGGCGTCCGAGCGCGCCATAAAGAGGCTGGAAACCGGTCTGCACCGCAATCTTCTTGCCCCCGAGTCCCGAGTTGATAGCGTCCAGCCGAAGAGTATGTAGGCCTCTCGCGTCGATAATGCATGCTTGTTGTATTATATATATTGTCCTCTTCTGCTGCAAACAACTCCGAGTTCATACACGTCCTCTGTCATCTTAATGAGCAAAGTTGCGCATCACATCCGAAGCCCCGATCCGCGCGTTCCCTTTGACCTCACCGTCTCCTTGCATTTCCCTCGTAGAGGATGGACAAGGCCCGAGGTTAGACCGTTCTTGATTGGCATAGAGTCTTCCTAACGGCTTTCCAGCAAGACAACAGGTCCCATCCCACTCTGAAGATCGCCGGGCCTTCCTGGAACGCTCCCTCCCGAACTTGGTCGACGGACTCCAAGGCCACCAGGTCCAGCTAAACATCCAAGAACTAGAGCTTCAAAAAACAGAGGTCGCCCTCCTCGATGCCGAGCGACGTCTCACAGAGGCCCGCAATGCCCTTGCTCCAGTACAGGACCAAGAAAAGCAGGTCCGCCAGCAGCTGAAAATTGTCGAATTACAACAGTCGCTATCCCTCTCCCAACAAGACAAGGCCAACCTAGAGAGACGTTTGGCGACATCAGAACAGGCCAAGGAGGCCCTGCAGACCCAGCTGGAACAGCTAATGCGGCAGCTCACCTTCAAGCCAAACTCTCCTCCCGCGGTTATCAATCGTGATTGGCAGATGAGCGCCGATCTGCCCAACTCATCTCCGCCTCCGGAGAGCCCGGAATACGGAGGATATTCCCGTCCCAGCCCCTCTCCCACGCGCGCCGCTGAGCCATCCCTACACACCTCCTCCCACCGTGTTCCGCAGCTACCTTTGCGCACCGCCGAGGCCGCAACCCCCGCATACAAGCATCGACCTCCCTCCAAACCACAAAGCCGCTCAACCGCATCCCCCGCACGCCCTTCCGACAGGCGCAGCAGCCTGCCGCAAAGCTCGGCTCACCGTAGCACAAATGCCACCTCACGCCACTCACGCAGCGATGTGTTTGGCACAAAGCCCCCTTCCCCCACAGTTCCACCCGGATTGCGTGCCCCCAGTGTCACCCATAGCCGACCCCCGCGACTTGGCCTGCTCCCCACATCGAGCGCCAAACCGTGGGAGCCCAACGTCGCTCCAATGACGACGCCCGCCGTCATACGTGACCGTCCGCCCAAGATCCTCGCTGACAGGCGCCCCGCAACAGCCGTGCCGCAAGTGCTCCCCTCGACGGACAGGAAGCCGTCCGCCGCTCGCAATACCCTCATGAAGCCTCCCCCCGCGGTACCTCCCTGTGAGTTGTCTCTTTCTGTGTCCGCCCGAGGCCCTCAATCACCTTTACCCGGAAAGCTGTGACACGCTCGCTTGCATCGAATACCAAGCCATGGGAGGAGGGCGCCGCGATGAGGCCTCCCGCGGCGCTACCTCGCAGTGAGTAGTCTATTCTCTGTCTCGACAAGGTGCCAATGTCCTCGATCCAGCGCGAGCAGTGCGCCCTGCCAACGACACTCAGGGCGTCAAAAGGAAAGACGTAACTGGCTCCTCGCCTATTCGGCCACCCGCCAAGAAGCCCAGCACAGACGCTCACCCCCTGCGGACCCCGGCATTGCCGACGCCATCTAGTAGCAGTTTTGCGGCAAACAGGCCTCGTGCTAGGCCAAAATGGGTCCCCGGGTGATCCCGTTGCGCCGTGCCTTCCTCTCTCGCCAAAATCGTTAAATTTCTCTCGCTTGGTTGACGACCTCCTAATATCCGATGCCCGTGTAACAATCGATAGGTCGCATGTGAACGAGTCGGATGCGTATTGATTCACCCAACCCTGCGCTCGACTTATTCTTGGACGGCACAATACCGTGTTGCTGTAGATTCTTACCCGCTCTCTTTCCTGTGACCCAGTAGATCACTTTCTTGCGCCACCGACTCTTGTGTCATTCTTTCCGTAGATATTGATACTCTCATAAATTCAACAGATTTCGGGCACGGCGAGTGGAGGTTTCTAAAAAGACCCGCACTCTCAAACACCTCTTCAGTCTGAATGGACATTGGATCATCTCAGCTACTGTGAACGCACGCTTTACATACAAACCCGGCGATGATGGCGAACATGAAGGGAGGGGATCGTCGGAATAAGACACAACCACGGAGCATCATGGATGAGGGACGTCAAACTCTTTCATGCAAAACATTGCATGCCTGCGCCACCATGGCCAGACAGCGCTTAACCCTTTCATCAGCACGCTCTGAGTGTACCATTAGCTCGACGGACGCCATGGCAGACATCTGGGCTCACCATTGGCTTGCGCGATACCCTGTAACTTGAAGACGGCATTCTGGGCCTCCCCCTCCAGCGCTTCTTGGCGTGCTGCAATAAGCTGGAACCCCCGCCTTGACCATAAAATGTGATCCAGCAGATCACCGAGGACCTCGCGAATGAGTACTGTGTCTGCTCAGCAGGACCAGTACCAATAGGCGACAGAACACGTACCGCCCGTTGCATCATCACTTGAATCCCTCGCATCTTCAATCAGCGCAACGATCTCGGTAGCATGGGGGTCGCCGGTCTGCTGGCTGCCGTCCAATTCTGTGAACTCGGGTTCAGGTTCCATTGACGTAGAGATTCAGACGCGCCTCCAAAGTCGGCACAGATGCGCACAATAGATACAAACAACGCCCTCTTCACACGCCCTCTTCACGCGCCATGCCGTACGTCTCTCTCTATTTCCTGCCCTGCCTCACGGTTAACACAGCGCAGTCCCCTGTCTTACATCGACCACCCCTTGTTGAAAGTCCCCGCATCGGTCTCTCGCGTAGTAATCCCGGAAGGTTCCCTCGATGTTGTCTCCTTGACGGGATGGCCTCACCCGGACGTTGCCGCCGGCACTCCCTCCTACAGCAATGATCCTCCGAACTGGGATTGGACGACAGACGGCTTCAAATCTCTGCCTCGACCCGCAGCCCACCTGGTCTCCAATTTGTCTCATTCGCTGGACTCGGCACTCGCCAACAACGCCCAGTCCATTCAAATGGGGACGGACCCGGCTCGTTACCCGCTCTCGGTCTTCACCATCTGGGCCGCCTTGAGCCACCTTGTCATCCCTTCAATCGAGAAGTGGACCGACGCACTCGCGTGGCTTCATCAGCAACCATATACCCCTGCCCGCGAAAGGCTTCTTCAGGACCTCTTGCCCAAGTTCGCATGGCAATCCCCCAACCACGACGTAGATGCGCTAGCAGGCCTTCTATCGCGGAACTGGCTGCCTGGCAAATATGTGACCCTCATAATGGCTCGTCTTGTACAAAGCCTCCCCTCCGACACCGCCGACCTATTCTTTGTGGCCACCAACGTTGATTGGTTCAATATCCAGACAGCTTACGAGTCGCGCATGGACGTGACCTCCGCCAAAGGCGCGCGATACCATCGTGTGCTTCAGCAGCTCCTCAGCCGCCTTGGTGATCGTGACCTTGGTGGCGTCTTCGGCACGGGAGACCACTGGATAGCCTACTGCACCCTGCGGGCTAGCTACCAGATTGCTGTAGGAGATTCGACGTCGTTGCCCGCCCCGGACACTCCCATCCCGAAGCGACTGCGCGCGATCCTCGCTTGGCTCATGGATCTCCGGCCGCTCGCACAATCGAAAACGGGCAAGCCGGTTGTTGTGCCAATGGACATCAGCTTCCAGGACTTGCAGCACGACTCATTCTCCTGCGGTGTTCTCGCCCCCGACGCCCTGCACCAGCATTTGCTGGGCCGAACACATCCGGGTCACGGCCGTAAACTCGTTGGCAACTCCAAGACTGAGCGTGATGCCACAAGGGTGGAACTCTTGGCAGATATTGTGTCTAGCGTGAGCTTTCCTCATGATGTTGACCTCCCTTGCTCATCCATCCCCTTTGCCAGAGCCTCTACCCCGAGAAGCCTGACGCCCGCCCAGGCCCGCAGCCCAAGGTGAAGCCCAAGAGCACGGGCCCGCCCAACGCCCTCAACGCGCGCAAGGCGAGCGACAAGCCTCAACCTCGGCATTCGCCGCCACCTAATGCCCCCAACGCGCGCAAGCGGAGCGACAAGCCTCAACCTCAGCATTCGCTCCCTCTCCCTGAGGCCCCAGATACGCGCCCCAAACCCCCCAATTCATCCTCGCCGGTGACGAAACCCTCCGCCAAGCGGCCGAAAAAGGTGGTCATCCCCCGCCGTGTCGAGTCAGACGACTCAGACGACACCTCGGTTGTCGCCTCCGGGTCACCCTCCCCCTCCCACGACCCCGCGGCTACCTCTGACAGACGCACGCCCTTGTGGAAGCTCGCCGACATGGACCACAATTGCGACAGCTGGCGCTCACACCACAGAAGCCGCCACCTAGACCGCACAGCCGCCGCTGCGCACCGCCTGCAAGAGCTCAAGGCAAAGATTGCACAGCGGGAGGCTGAGCGGCATGCAATCGCGGTCGAGATGACGCGCGCCGAAAAAGCTGTCCGGAAAGAAGCGACCGGGGGTCGTGAGTCAGGCAGCGGGTGTTTGGAGGTTTCCGGGCCAACCTGCTATTCATTTTCCTTGTTCCTTGGATGAAAATGATACTGTCGGTGCTGCGAATGTCGTGAGTAGCAAAAGAACTGATCAGAGTGGGATTCGAACCCACGCCCCGGAGGACCAGATTATCGAATCGAAGAATCGATAAATGGAGCTTCTCTGCAGAAGCTGATCCTTAGTCTGGCGCCTTAGACCGCTCGGCCATCTGACCACGTCTTTACAAGTCTTATGTCTAAGCTTTATTAAAGGTGTACTATCCTTCCTGATTATTCCGGACATTTAACGAAGATGGGTGAATATCTGGGTATGGAAATATTACTAGCACAATCCGAGTACACCATCCGACGCGGATCCTTCCTTTAATGCGGTCTAGCATTTTAGTTTGTGTGAAATGGGCCATTCGCCGATGAACGGCATACTTCTTTCAAGTGTCCGAGTTATAGGTAACACATCAAATGCTGATTGCCGACCCCGCACCAGAGGAACACCTCCAAACTGGACACGCAAGTTCGGATGCATCATATGGACTGCTTGCATGCACCAATGTTCAAGGAAATCTCCGGAAGGGTCTTTTTATAAGGCATTTTCCCACAAGTGCAGGAGCCATCCACTACGGCAGAGCACCGGAAGAAGACCTTGCGCATATTTTGGGATTAGGCCGTGGTGTTGGTGACCAGCTGTCCCCAGCTGTCGACCAACTCTCGACATCCTGCGGCATCAACAGTGGGTACAGCAGATCGCCAGCCCGGAGATTGACGCTGCGGGATCAAGGAATGAGACCACGGGGAACCCAGAAAAATCGACTGCCAGCAAGTTCAAGAGCAGATCTATATGACAGAGGCAGTCAAGACATACAACCTGGCACAATGTGCATTCTTCCGTTGAAATTGCTTAATACAATAGTTAATACACAAACCACTGGCGAGAAAATGGATGTCAACCAGCTCCCCAGCCTATTTCCCGCCACACTAGACCGTCAATGAGCGCGATGCGGAGAGTTCGACAAGAGCAAACCGCCTGCGTCCGTAATTCTCACGCGGCGCCGTACCCACCCAACACCCCCCATCTCCGGCAGCTGTGGGTGATTCACCCAACACCGCCCGTCCGCACATGATGCCTTTGCCCCTTGTCGTGCGTCGCATTTCTTACACTTCTCTCACTGACTGCTCTGGATCCTAGGTATCCACACAGACTTACCTCAACCAATTCGGGATCTAGACATAAAGTAAGGGAATCAGATCGAGAGGCGGAGAGAGAGAAAGGCACGCATGGACTGGGAGAACCAGATGAGTCTCCTATAGCTTTCCTTCTCTGCGTTCACGATCCCCAAGCCGCCGCGGATCTCCGTCCGCGCACTCCGTCGCCAATCTCGCAGCACCCCGCCATGTCCATATCCTCACCGCCATTCAACACATTCCAGTTAGTTTGCATTCGGTCTATTTTCGACATTTTGATACGAATCTCGAGGAGCTGTGGCACATTTGAATGTTCGACACTTGGACAGCAGCCTTCTCTCCCAAATTCCATCGTTGACGTGTTTTTTTCTGGTAATTAGTTCCTGACAGCCTCACAAGTACAAGACGCTTCTGAAAGCACTCTGCCTAAGCCTACAGTCGAAACTTCAGTGTTCCCCAGCCCGCTCCATCCGCTGGGCTCGTGTTCCCTTCTTCTGTGACGACCCGATTGATCTGTCGAGTGTCAGAAATGCGACTTTCTTCATCCTGTTGACGACTCACTATTTGCAGGGTAAACGGCATGCTTAAACCTTTGGTCGAGACGTAGTGCGCGTACGCCAGCTCGTATATCGGCCGAAACGTTCCCCGAGTCGCCGTTGAAATTACACTAAACGGCCCTCCCACAAGATTCGAGTCGCATCTTTGGAATGTCGCGTCGTATGGAACGGTATTCCCGAGGTTGTATTTCGCAGTGTACTCATAACCCGTCATCAGTCGATTGGAGAGGAGAGTGAACAAGTCGTTCGTTCCTTGGAGCCAAGCTATTTGGCAGGATTCGGCCAAGTTTCCCTAGATACAACGACGGAAATTAGAACTGCATCAAGCGTGTATGAATATGCGGATGAAATACCAGACCAAGCTGAGTGTGTCCCTGATCTCTCCCAGACTCGGAGCTCTGTCCAGTCGGCGATATGTCAAGAGCCAAGCCCGAACATCTCTCATTCGAGTACAGACTGATCGCTTCGTTGTACCTAAACTCAACCCGAGAAATATTAATATGGTGTGAAAGTGATTCCGCTCAAAGCAACGCACATTGTCGTATTTTCCGTAAAAACACCAAACGCCATCAACGCTTTCGTGTTTCCAGTTCCAACATTTGCCTCGTATTGTACACCGGTATGATCTGTTCCGTGTGATTCTCTGATCTAGCATGTTCCGTGAAGTACTCACTGTTCAGACGAGGGTAGAAAACACGATTAAGCATGTTGGAGAAGTTGGTTATGCCGGTTGCCGTCCAACCAGCAGATGTATACCGGATGATTTCTGCGGCGTTCGTCATCGCGAATGGTCCGAGAGAGGACGCCAACTGCATGTCAAGGTCTGCCGACATAAAAATGAGCAACTCTGATTCTCGTCGCTAATAGAAGCTCACAGTTAGGATCCACGCTCTTTACTGTGCTGGACCACGCATCCATTATCTGAATAGCCTTGTTTGCGTGTAGTTGGATCCCGGTTAATTTCCACATCTACGACACGGTACTCGATGAGCTCGACCAATCACAAAGTATCAAAATGTCGATGATACTTACTAGGGCATTTTGGTACGCAGCCGTGGCGTCCGCCTCGAATGCTGCACGGCTGGTCATCATCGCTACCGGCGTCGACATTTGATAGGTATCCGAGGAAAATTTATCGGCGGCAAAGAGGAGGTAATCTCGATATTGTGGGCTATCTGTGCCAGCTAGCCCAGCAGTTATATAGGAAGACATTCGACTCATGTCGCTCAATTTATGCAGAACTCCCGCTAAGCGTGTGGATTAATGAGGCGAATATCTGAGAGGCGAAATAACGATAACACGCACGGTGAATCCAAGCTCGAACTGAAAGCACATTTACAGCCAGAATGAATGCGACTAGCCCCAAGGATGTCGCGCGCATGATGGGAAAGGGGTGAAAAATTCAGAATCTTGAGGATGCGAGCTATATAATGTGTTTGCGGCCCGGGAGCTCCAAGTTTCCCGTCGAAACCAATATCATCTGGTAGTAAAAAGTCCAAAACAAGTCATGAGGATGCGTGACGTCGCCTGCACTCAGGAGGAAGGAAGTGATATTCTAACCGCAGCGGTGGAACATAGCGGGGCCCGGTACAGGAAGGAAGGAAGGAATATTTTAACCGCAGCGGGGGTCACATTGCCTAAATTTGTCCAGGGTTCATTGGATCTGTATCGAAATTGAAAATAATAGAATATTCGCCAAGTTGAAAAACCGAGGTTCGAGCGATGGCGGCCAGTCTCCGGAACATATAAGCCTAAAAGGATACCATTCTGCTCTGAGACAGAACGACCTATAGGTCTCAAAGCCGTGGATTAGCATTCTCAACATCGATATTGTCCGGGCCGCCACTTGAGACCGCGAAGACTAAGTATTTGTCATCCCCCAAACTGCGGAAGTCGGACATCAATTTCGTAGGGATCGCGTGGTTGAGGGAGTGGCCAAGCGTCATAGCCAGATTACTAGCTGACCTCTGAGTGGATGGCTCGTGACTCCGACCATCATCCGCTGGCACCAATCGGCTACACTCACCCACCCGCACCGCCGCACCGCCGCTTCCCGCGGGCACCGATGCTGAGGAGCCCGTGGAGGAGCACCCTTCGTTCCACCCTGGATCTTCCTTCTCGCGACACGCCTGTGGGGATGGATACTCACCCACGACATCCACCAACGCTTGGGCGCCGCTCCGTCAGTTTATGAGCTGCGGACCGACTGGTTCACGAGTCTAGGTGCTTAATTTAGATGTTAATATTATGGCGTGACCGCGCCAGCACCACAGACCACGGCAGATTGCCCTCGATAATATGAGGCCTTGGATTTAAAAGCAAATAAGCGCGCAGTGCGGCCCTGTGGCTTCGGAAACCCAGAAAGGTCAGGAATCAGCGTAGCCGTTCCCCGGAGTCCTTCAACGGCTATCCCTAAGCTGGGGAAGGAGCCTACTTGATGCATCGGAGGATTGAGGCGGTATATGATGCCAGGAGTGGAACTCGAGTTGCTTGGTTTCGTAGGTCTTTCCTGATGGTGTGCCTAGTTGAATGTGATTGCAGCATTATATCCTGGGGAGATCCCATAGATGGCAAGCGCGGGCACTGCATCATCGTCGCACGTCGTAGGATTGGGAGCTCGGCAGAGTCTGTGAATGAAAGTGGAGCATTGGCGGAGGGAGAAAATTACGCCGCGAGCGCGAAGGACTCGGGGGGTACATAAGCAACTGTGAGCTGAACGCGAGGGTTATGCGGGCGGGCGTCGGGAAATGGCGACATTGACCCTAGAGCGGAAGAAAGATGTAGCCGTAGCGTACGACGTGCGGGTTGACAAGAGGCGGCAAGGTAGAGCAGCGGAAGCCGAGGTTGTCCGTCAAACAAAATTCCTACAAAACACAGCAGATCGCCAGCCTGGAGATTCTATCGCCATCGCAAGATTAATGCCGCATGGGGAGGCCAGAAAGATCTACCGCCAGAGAGTTGAAGAGCAGATCTCTATCAGGAGTACAACGTACATCCTTCCATTGAAACTGCTGAATACAATAGTTAATACACAAAACCATTCTAAACCTACAGCGAGAAAACGGATCCAGATTGAACGGGGGTTCAAGCGCTCAACGCACATGGTTCAAATGTAAACCGGGTTGTAGCTCGATCTAAATAAATAAATAAGATGATTGCAGATCCACTCTAAGAGCATGCCGCGTCGCACTCACACCAAAGTGAATCCCTCGTCGCTGCCCCCATCCTTCTCCCCGTCCTCGCCCCCGCCCCCATCCCCATCCCCACCGGAAACCTCCGCCTTGTACCGCCGCCACAGCTCGCGCACCGTCGCGCCCGCCAGGCGCTCAAACACCGCCTCGTCGTAGTCCACACCCAGCAGTGTGGCGTTCAGCGCGCGCACGGTGCCCGCGCCTGCCTGACCCTCGATCCACTCGAGGAAGTACGCCGTCGTCTGGTACCCCGCGTCCCACGTGTCGCCCGGGCGCACCGCGCGCTTC